CCGGCCAATTTATCATAAATTTGAGTTTGACACAACTTAGATTTATGATAAATTGGCTGGCTTTTAGCAATAATTATAAAATTTACCGTACGACATGCTAGGGTTATACTTACATTTTGAGTCCTTGCGTTCCATGCAGAGCATGTAAAATGGCATATATAAAATAAGTATCTTATTACGCAACTGATACAAACAACACGCTCCCAAAGTCGTGCATATTTTCCGGTATAGATGGGTGGCGAAATTCAAAAAAGGAGCTTACAACAATATCACGTGATTATTGATTATACGTATTGTTTTTAATTTCCTTTTTGAATTCGCCACCCATCTACGTACGTACGTACGTACGTACGTATAATTTTCCGGCGTTGTAGTTTTTCTCTTCCTAATTTAACACAATTATCGCATTAAGTGATACGTATTACAAAAATCATACATGTTCGCAGATCTCAAAACAATAGACGTGTCAAAAAAATATAAAGATCCTTTTTTTGCTTTGCTAATTTTTCACGCAGTTTTGGATTCTGCAATGAAAATGATACATTCCCTGCTAAGAATAAAAAAGATATATGAGTGGTATTTGAAATCTGCTGGAGGTGTAATTACGATGACTTATAGCGGGCCCCATTAAAGCTGACACTATACAGCTATAATGGAATGATTCTGTAAATGCTGTTATTTTTACTACAACGGATGTTAGAGTTATCCGTTATAGTATTAATAATACTGTAATATTTTAAATTGTCTATAGAACACTTCATTATAGTGAGATCCGCTTTAACGAGGTCTGCTATAATGAAGATAGTGTGTATGTAGAGTGGGAAGAGCCAGCTTGAGAAATCGACAGTTGTATATAAGGCCTAGCGATATTGAAATGTTGATGGTGATTTTTCTATCGTTCAATAAGTCGATGGTTTTTCATCACGTACCTTGACTTGCATAAAATTCATGTTCGATTAATAAAATTATGTAACAATTTATAAACTAGTTTGTATGTGGCATTTATAGTTTAATGACAATAAGCCAACCGGTTTTGACTCAAATGATAACGGTTTGAGTCCCAAACTGTGTCAATGCAGCTTTATCCTAACTACTTAAACAATCCTAATTAATTAGTTATAACTCTACAAAATTTCATTGTATTCTTAGTAGCGAACCAATTTTGATACGTATTATTATTTCGTATTATTATATTATTCTATAATACACACTTATATTTTTATTTGAATTAAAAATAGCGCGTCAAAGAAAATGTAAACAAATGTAAAAAATGACGCAGCAATAATTTATGAATAGCAGAATCCAAAAGGCAGAAAAAATATAAATATTTTTTAAAGTTGTAGAATATCTATATTTTATTGTTTCTATATTTTATTGTTTAATATTTATAATTCTGTATATACAGTAGATTAAAATAGTCTACTATTGAAAAGTCTATCAGTAAATCTAATATTACAAATACTGTATTATTAATTATACAGGTTTTATGTTTTATCTGCAAAAAATTATTAAATACTGTATAACTTATAAATTTGAATTTTAGCAACATTTAAAAGTTGATCTATTCACAGAGGCCATCATCTATATGGACACCCCAATATGGGCCATCGTGATCTACAGAATTCCAATCTTCAAATTGAACAGAATCAGAACAGAGCTAAGAATAATAGAGAAAATTAAATTAATTAAAATTAATATGTTATATACATTTAAAAAAAAAGTGTAATAATATCAAAGTTTTAAATATTACTTTGTTTTCATCGCCTGAGCATTTGACTGCTTGGTTAGCAGTAGTATTAGCAATCCAAATTTCACCCTTGTGGTGTTTATAGTCAACTCTCAAGATCAAATGAGGCACTTCATCGGCTTGATTGACAGTTCTTTTCATGGTACCCTACATATGATAATTAATACTGTTGATTAACATATATCATTTAGAAACAATCCTTTTTTTTTTTTTTTTTTTTTGAAACTTACCAAAGTTTTATCCATAAATGAAGCAAAAACAGAATTTCCAATTCGAGGTTCACCATAGGTGTATAGACACGGATTTGATCCATTAATGGATTGCTTAATGTCGAGAGCGGCAAACGATGCTAATGCTATTTAAATTAAAATATTTAGTTAAGTGCAAAATAATAAATTAATAAATGTTATAATTATTATTTACAAACCTCCTCCTAAACTGTGACCAGTAACAACAATATTATAATCAGGATATTGTTTTATTGATTCAGAGATTACATCTCGAAGTTGTTGTTGAAAAGTAAGAAAAGCAGTATAAAATCCTAAATGGACGAGGGCACCTCCTGGTTTTGAATTAGTAGGGATAGTAATGGATTCAAATCCATATGGACATTGGACTACTTCTATATCTTTGACAGTGTTACCAAAATCAGCAGTTCCTCGGAAAGTGACAACGATCTCTTTATATTTCGTGTTACGAGTAATAACCGCATAAGCATCAGCACTCTCTAAAAAAAAAAAAATGTTTATTAAATTAATTATTTTGTTGCATGATTATCAAGCTGAACCTTTACTTACGTCCTAAAATTTCTACCCATTTTGCAGGTTCAGTTGTAATAGTTTTTATAACCGTTGTTTCAGGAATCTTATCGCAGTAAAATCCGCATGTCCAATTAGCAGAGTTTGAACAGTAGGAAGCTGCGGAGTAAGTAACAAACCGAGTGAGATCAGGTATTTCCCCATCATCAAGATTACTAATTCCGTTTGAAGCCGATGGAGGCGGTGGTTCAAACGATTTACTACTATCGTTTATAACGTGGATCGGGAAAGGATTAACGAATGTTAATATATAGGTAAAGAGCAAAAATATGAAATGACAAGAATTCATAGTTGCGATAGGTCGCTTAGTTATATTTGCAAATTTTCTCGAATTCATAGTTTTTTGGATTGAAATACAGTATATATATGTTGCGAAACAATATTACTTGAATACCATTTGTATGTTTTAATTCGTTTTAGTTGTTTGCTTTGTGTTTCATGCTATAGATTTTTGATTTATGTCTAATATTAATTACGTGCATACTTTAATATTTATGTCGTTATACAGTATGTTAGGAAACCTTTATGAATTTCAAAGATTATACAGTACATGTGCGAATACGAATTGCAGGTAGCAACCAGCATTGGAGAACAATTGTTTTTTTTTTACTATGCACAGTACGTACTGTACCTTATTTTATGCGGAAATAGTTAAATCTTACTAAGACATTGTTTAGTAATTAATAAACTGATAATATTTTAAACGTTTACATAATTGAATTACACAAAGCATTGAATTTCTTCATCGAAAATGATACAATTAAGGATTTTTTTTAAAACCATACCAGCCAAATATTGTGAGTTTGTCCAATTTTAGAATATTGAAACATATGTTGTTATAATCATGTGCTATGCCAAGCATTGTTGTTTACCTTTTCAAATTATTTCGATTTATTAATTAGCGCCTATAAAATTTTGTGGTTTGGTTATTTCCAGTTATATTCAAATATATTTTGAGTCAATTGGTTTTGATTTGCTGGTCTGTGTTTCGTGTACTCTCATGAACAGCCACTTTGCCAATTTTATTCAAAAAGGAAATTGTTTTTAAATATAGTTATTTAATCTTGTGTAACAAAATAATTGATCGTGCAAATCATAATTACTCCTTATAGTCAAAATATAAACATTTGAAATTAAATTTCTATGCATTGGGACGGGAAATTCAAAACCACACTCTCTATAGAGCACCATCCTAGCCATCCTAGTATCGCCCATGAAAAATGTAGTTTACGCATAATTAAAGCTAGTGTCGTCTGTAAAAAATGTAGCTAACGTGATAATCATGTGATAAGAAATATTCACTTTACAGTTAATTCTGTATAGCGAAATCGAACATTGCTGTTTAAAAGAGTTGGAAACATAATTATTTAATAAAGAACTTTTGAGAATTTTATAGGAGGCTAGTTCGGTTAAGAAATAAAAACAATTTTGTCATTAAAACTTTAGTAATACGGATATTTTGGGTAGTTTTAAGAACAGTTAACCCGGTGATCACAGAACTATCGTTTGGCCTGGATTAGGGTTAGGTTAGGAGCATAGTTTAGGTCAGTCTGTTTAATTCTGATAAACAAATGACGTCGATCAATAGGTTAACTATTCTTCAAGTGTTCCGATATTATTTCAGTTGAAATACTTAATAAACAATCATTTTATAAATGCATGTGCAATATGAGCAATGATAATTTATCACTATTAAAAAGCTTAACTTAGAATGTTCTCAAGCATCACAATCAATAACGATATTTATAGAATTAAATACTTGAACGTACTCTTACTATTTTCGTAATCTTCGCTATGCCTTCTAAAAAAACCCAATAAAAAATTTCTATTTAACCAGCTGCTGAAGCTTCACCTTCAGTTGTGTTGGCTTCTCCTTTTAATGATATTACCAATTTAATTTTTTTTTTTTGTTGCAACAACAACGGAATCAACTTATGGAGTCGTTAGCGAAAGTTACTTTACAGCAACAAGAAATAAACTTTTTTCGTTAATAATACAATATTTAAATTTTTTTTTAAAAAACTTTTTTTATAGGCAACTTATAATAATTCTGCAGATGCTACTTCATACTGAAAGTAGCATAGATAATATGATTATGTTTTCAAAAAGAGTTATAACTTTCATTATCCGTTAAATATGGAGCGAAAAACGGAATAACAGTATTCATTATTTTTGTAAAGGTTAAAATGGGACGTATTTATTACATTCGTATCAAGGTATCGATTATTTATTTTAAAACTTTCGAGCATTAAAAATAAATTAGCTATTTTTATTAGACCGGTAGAAATTTGTTGAGTATTCATTATTTATTTATTATTATTAGGTATATTTGTATGGTTTTATAAACATGTGACTATCGAAAAAAATTTAGGGTAAATTTGCCTTGAATTTTACGGGTTAAAAAAAGACAAAGTACTAAGAGATTTTGGGAAAATTAATTTGAGAAATCGTTGATTTTGTCCCTAACTCATTTAATCAAATTTCTAATTTTATTTAATATACCGTCAATAGGCGTGTTGGCACTTATTTCTTTCTTAACTTTAGTATAGCAACTTTCAATATTAGTCATTATACTTTCGTTACTACATTCTACACTTGTAGAAGTATTAATCAAGTCTTTAATGTTAGATAGTAATGTTATACCTCCAATGTTCATATTGGCAACTATTTTTTCCCCAATGTTCATATTGTCAACTATTTTTTCCCCAATGTTCATATTGTCAACTATTTTTTCCCCAATGTTCATATTGGCAACTATTTTCTCCCCAACCTTAATACCGAGATCTGTAATATTAGTCTTAAAGCTTTCATTATTACATGTTGCTTCTGCAATGGCATTATCAATATTAATTAATTCACCTCCAGTAAGCGTGTTAATACATATTTCTTTCCCATCCTTAGTACTAGTCAGTACATCCCCGTTACTAATTAATGCACCTGTTTCTACAATAATAAATAATTGTTCTCCGATATTCATTTCTTTTCCAGACATCTTATCCATAATACCACCGCTTGCAATATTAGTCTTTACATTTCTATCTAATATAGTCATGCTGGTTTTAATCAAGTTTCCAATATCAAGTGATATACCTCCAATAGGCGTGGTGATACCTACTACTTTTCCAATTTTAATACCACAGCCTGCAAGATTAGTTTCTATATTATCACTACTAAATGATACACCCGTACTTGTATTAACTCCTAGATATGTCTTTAAACCAAGACTATTAACTTCTAAATTTATTACATCTAATTTTGCTTCAAATCCAGCTTTTCCTATATTATCCCCTATTTCAACTCCAACCGATACTACTCCACTAATGAATTTAACTTCTTTATTACCATCTTGATATTTAATTACTGAAGAACTAACCTCTAAGCCATTAAGTCCAAGTGAGGATTTAAAATGCATTATGTCATTTTGTGCTGATGTTTCAAATTCACATACGTTTAAGATTGAAGAATTCATGATGATTAATATTTAATATATTAAATATGAATAATTGAGATTTGTTATTTAACATCGTTTAATGTTTTAATCTTTAGTTTTCAACAAGAGAATTTTTAATGAGAGAATTAATGAGTTATGAGGTTATTAAATACTTTTTACAAGTTCATAAATAAATATATAGTTATTCATAATGAGACAATTATTCAATTTTAATAGAACTAATCGGATCATTTCATATTTAGAATTTGATATATTTAAATTTTTAAGAAGAACTGATAAGGTAATCTTTTAGAAGAGAACAAAAATTTTATGCACGTAAATAGATATCGTCCAAGACTATACATTCTGACTTAATTGGCCTCAATAATACGATTGTAGTATTCTAGATGTCATATCTAGTGTTACGGGAGAAGCCTAAAGAAATTATATCAATGCACTTGACATTGATTATTATTAATTATTGTTATAATTTCCTTTTTTGGGGTTCGCCCGAAACACTAGCTGAGTGAAATATAGTATAGGTATCACCTTAATAAAAAGTCAATTGGTTTATAATCGGTGTCACCTATACTACTAGTCATATCCTTGATTCTAGAATGCTCGGATTAGAGTGTCCAGGGTACTGCGGTGCATAATTCTACTCACGCTAAAATAGTTTTTTTTTTATATTGTTCTCATAAGAGACCCATGGTTTAAATCACCTTTTAAATCAATTACAATTGGGGATTTCAAAGTTAACAAATAAGGTGACGCATTTTTACTATGTTGAATTATAAATCGGGAAAATAAAATAAGATACTCTGATTTTAACTTTGAAACCCCTAATATAAAAAAAAAAGTATTTTTAGCTTGAGTAGAATTATGCACCACAGTACCCTAGACACTCTCGCTCGGATATCAATTTATATGAATGTATATATATGTGATAACAGATAAGCCACTTTCTTTTTCTTGACTCATGCAGGAAGATCCCAAAATTCCGGGTCGGAATGCTTTAGGATTTGGCCGGAATTGTTCGATTTTGTACAAGATTACTAATAAATTTACCAATGAAACCATTACCATTCAATAAGTAAAAAAAAAGCCCACCTGATAATTTTGCTGTATTGTAAAGTACGAGCCTAGCTGTGGCATATTCTGACCCGGAATTCTGAGATTGCCCTATAAAAAATCCTTTTCATTGACAAAAAAGATTTTCTATAAATTTAATTTCATGTTCCACCTACTATTTTTAGTTCTGATAATCAATATCTAATCATTGTATGACGTTATAACATCAATTGTATATTATGTATATTAAGTGGAGCAAAACGAAACCTTAGTAATGCTTGTTTATTTTTTTATCTTTCGGGGTTCGTTTCCGATGCATATTTAACTCTAAAAATAGTAGTATCGGAAATTTATTTCCATAAGGTAAACTATAGATGCAGAAATATTTACATTTCGACACGCCTTTACAACGGGCATCCATTGACATAGTATTTCCGCCCTAATAATAAAAATTAAAAAAAAAACGAGCTATTATTTGGCATCATTAAAATTTACTGATTTAGCAGGTGTCAACGCCGAATGATAATTGATCAAATTTTAAATAATTATAAAAAATAACAAAAGTTCTCATTTTTAATAGATTTAGGTTCTAAAAAAGATTGTAATAAAAATATCCTGAGCTGTTGGTATTGTCGGAAATGATGTTTCCGCTTATACACGAATCAGATTAAATTATAGGACTAGGTTGGGATGGGTTAAAAAATTAGGCGCCATACGGGGACATGCCTTTAATTTATAAATTCATATATATATTTGAATATTTTCAATGGCCTTGCTCGTTTTTACGTTGTTTGACTACCTACATTTCCGTTTATTTCCTACATCACTAGCCAATTAGACTCGATGCAATAGTTACGTGCATTTGTGGCGCGAGTTCCCAATAGGTATGTTCTTGTCCCTGTGTTCCCAACCCTATGTAGGACCAGCTGCGTCATTAAATTGTAATAATACAAAAAAAAAAAAAAGATTTTTGCTAAATTTAGCGGTTGTGATATCACAGATTGATATTTAAAAATTATTATTGGTTAAGGTTAGGGTATTAGGATTAGGGTTAGAGGGCATATATATATATATACAAAATTAAGTGCTAAAAACTTTTAATTTTTTCCTAGTTTTTCGTTCGTTTTTGTTACACAAAATCCTGTGATCTAATTGGTCGATCATATTAATCTGCCTGCGATATTTAACAATATTCAAAAAAAATATAAAGAATAGTAATCATGGAAAATATAACCTATACTTGCTAGATGATGATGAATTATTGAGAGTCGCAAAGAAAATTGGTAAAGATGATGATGAAAGAGAAGACAAGACTCTGAACTCTGATTAGAAGACTGAGAGAAAGAAGGAAGAGACAAGATATTTATACCAAGTGAACTTTATAGCTTAAACTAGGTATGCTATAAAGTTCTAATTTTTAATTTTAGAACTAGAGTTTATATCTAGTCAACGCTAGCTAAATCAAAGGCCAATATTTTAAGCACAATTGCACAATATTAACAACCATTTCTTTTTTTTAAAAAAAATAAAAAAGCATAATTATAGGGATCAAATTTTTGCAAAGCATGATAAATTGGTTAATAATTCGTTGGGCTTGTTCTTTATAAAAAAAATTAATTAGTTATTGAAAATGTAAAATGCTGTTTCTGCAAATAACATTTATTAACGCAAAAACCCCAAAAGTCAATGCAGTGTTCGCATCATAGTTCACTGTTTTAAGATTTGAAATTATAATGCTATTTTGCAAGTTAATCTATATATATGTCGTACGTCGGAACAAAATTAGTGTAAATTTAGAATCCACTTAGGTTAGAATGGAATCCCGAATGTAGTTCAAGTTGATATGAAATTTAAAAGCAACTTAAGTCGATTCTTACTTGGTACTATATAATCGATAAATTTAATTGCAACTTAAGTTGATTTTAGATTCGATACTGTAATAAATCATGATATATTGTCAAGATAAAATGCAAATCTTTTATTATTTCTTTTTTTTATTTCACTTTTTCATAATTACAACTCTCTCTACCTGATGACCGAATATTAAGATTATCTATTTTTATCCCGTAATGTATTCAAAGAATTACTTTCCAAATATTTTAGTAATGAGTTGGCAAATAGGCAACATAAAATCTTACACGAAGGCTTTTGTTTTTGTATTAAGGTTTTACAAGATTCAGCAAATACAACAATCGGGAATGCGAAAAATCGTATTTGGTAAAAATACATTTGCAATACGCGATTGAAATAGTATTCTTTCAATGCTCATAAGCATTCGAAAAGCATCTATTATGCAATCCTCTTCACAAATAGGTAATATTAAATGCAATTGCAAAAATGCATTGCTGTAAAAATTTATCCTGTAGGAATAGTTGCTATCCCATTAGTCATAGATAAAAATCTTCGTGTCATTGCTTTTAAATTTAACTAATTTGCAATGCACTGTTATGAATAAATCCTATCTTAAAGTAATTTAAATTCCAAAACAACATACTCGATGAAATAATTTGGAGTACACATAATTTTGTTGTAATTTGAATTGGAATTCTTTAACGACTTGGGCACATTTTAAAATTCTATTACAATCTATATTTATTCGGAATCAACCTAGGTGGATTCTAAATCTACAATAATTCCATTCCGACGTACAACATATATATGACATATATATACTTTATCATTTGGTAAAGCGGAACTATCTTTCCGAAGGGCCAGAAGTAGGATAGGTGGCATGATAAAATTTTAGGGCATGCCCCTCTTATCGTGCCCGGGGCATGCCTCTAGTATATACTGTAAATCATTTTGGTTTAGTAGGAAGTTTAAGCCATAACGGTGTATTATAGTAAAAGATTACATTCTTGAATAAGTTAAATCATGCAACAACTAACCAAACAGCAAATTCAGCAAAGAAAAGACCAAGTAAAACAAGACAGAGTTATGGCTATGATATAACCATATAGTATTGCTACTAAAATTAAATACGTATGTATAAAGTTAAATTTATTTACTTCATCGATGATAAATATAATTAGAAACCTTTTTAAAAAAATTATATATCAAGTTTTGAACTAGATGTTGAATTCAAATTATGTTTTTAAAAAAATAAAAACATACAAATACTTAATGTAGATTTTATGATATTGTGAATTTCATCTAATATTGACCAATCATTTCATAATGATTTTCTGTGATCACATGATAGAGGCACGCCCTTCAAACTAAAGGCATGCCCAAAGACTCATGCCACCTACCCTAGCCAGAAGGACTTTATTTATAATTGTGAACTCAACTATTTACATTAGAAGAATCATCTATATTACTAGTATAACCAATATCACTAATAAACCCCATATCGACCTCATAGCCAGTATTATTAATATCCACCATATCATCGAAATTATCCTTATTGTACAAATCCTTCCAATTTTCTAGACTAGGTAATGCGTAGCATTGTGTGCCCGGAGCTATCATGTAAATGATCATCATGTATTCAACCAATCAGCATCACGGAAGCCTACGGACATACTTTTCACGTAACTGGTAATATAAATGATCACCGGCTGCCGTAAAAACGTCCTCGCTTCGCTCCGGACAATCAGGATTATCGGTGGGATCGAACCGATCGGAGATTTCGGGGAAATCGGGCAGGGAAGTCTAAATTTGGAATACCCGAGATCATGAGGGCACGTGCCTTCCATCAGGTCACGTTTCCGGTCTCACAACGGTACAATATCATGCATTCGGAAATCGACTCCATTTCGAACATTTTTTGAACAATGTCTACAATAACTGTACAAACTTTTTTACAGAACAGCCTAGACTAGAGGTTTGGACCGGTTTCAATAATTCGAGTTTAGTATTATTAATTTCCTGGGAGCTTAAATATTACAACAGAGATTCTCAATGAACAC